TTCATATCACCCAGTAATGTGATCGTATAAATCCGTGATCGTATGCGCAAAAATATGATCGTTTATAGACAAACAAAGCTCATCTACACTTTTCGTTTTACTTCGTATTTCTTCGTATACGATTATATTTCTCTGTGTACAGTTTGGAGATATACGAACCTCCAAAATGTGATTGAATACGAAGAAACTCAGAAGAAGAGGAAGAGGGGTTACTTCATTTTCTGATAAGCAGAAATCTTCAACTTATGTTATCATACTATCGTAAGCTATCTTGCCGAACAAATCCCATTGAATCTGACAGAATTCTAGATTGAGTCTAGTCATCCTAGGAACTCTTTGCTTTGAAGCATGCGCTACGCTACGAGTTACCTATCTATTGTTAGATTCATATCACAAGCTTCTCTGGGGCCGAAAAAAGTGGTCAAGAAAAGTGAGCTCGAGATTATAATTTTACATATTGATCTTAACCAGAAGAAATGTGGAAACCTCGGATTTAAACCCGAGAGTTATATGTACTTCAAAAAGTGAATGACACAGATGAGTCATCCTAGAATGTGTGGACGTAAAAATTATCCTGGCAAACCTTTTCTATAAAGCACTTGAATTCTATTGGCTACTGCTCAATCAATAGGACTTAGAGATGAATACCGCTCAGATTTGAACTCTTCGCCTTGATTTACCCTAAGAAAGTCGTTTTTTCCTATAGCTGGATTTCTATTGGTTACTGCTCAACCAATAGGATTTCAAGGCAAACGGAGCTTGGATCAGAGTTCTCCGATCCAGAAAACCTCGAACTATCATCTCTGTGATCGAAAGACAGAGCTCTAATTGTGGATCAACTAGAGTGTGGATAAGAACAGAACCATTTCCCGTTTAATTATCTTTGCAATAGGTGAGTTAGCCTTCTTGTTTCTTTATGTTTTATATACCATTTTGTAGCTCGTGAAAGTCTCTATCGAATGGTATATAATAGTTGGGGTTTTATTTGACTATGATAGGAAAAGTTTCTTACGAAAGCGGGGATAGGTCGATTTTCGCATAGGAAGGCATAGGGAATAATGGCTATTTTTGCAATAACTGAGGAACGGCTTGACGAATCATTCTCATCTTCGAACTCGACCGAGATATTGTTGAGACTAAAGTGTGTAGAAAATTTCATCGCAATCGGATTCTCCTTTCAAAAGTTATCGTGTAAACGGCCGGACTGACACACTGACCGATTCTAGAGTGTACTCACTTTTTGAGTACACAAAAACATGTTAAGATCGTGAGAGAATGATGATTTCATATTGGAAACATAATTGAGTGCTTTTGCTTCCGCTAGAGAACTACAAAAATTGGGTTCCGATTATGAATATATAATATCGCTGAAGTTGATCACTAAAATCATATACTTTAGCTTCCTTAGCTATACAACTTGACTGATCAGCACATCAGTTTGTTATGTGATATTTTTGTATGATACGGTAACAATAATCAATATATTCATGAATATTTTTGTCAACGACCTGCTTCTTCTTGAGAAAAGAGGAAAAAGTGGATTTTTTCGAAAAAAGAGGCTAAAAAGAGGAATTTTAAAAGAACAGAAGAAAAGGAGGAAAAAGAGGTGGAGTGGGATGCCAGCTCAAAGCCGCTAAAATGATCATAACATTATGATAGATTTATGTATTTCGAAATATTTTTTTCAAATGATAACTCTCATCTTCCTCTACAAAAAAACACAATTTGATCAATAACTTTGTATAAGTTTGTTGTAGATATTATCGATTTATAGAGAGGGGTCGAAACTTTCGAACCATCCTTTAGTCATCAAATTCTACGGAATTTAAACCTAGCAAGAGAATCTGTAGCGCTTACCATTATAAACGAAAAAAAGTCTTTCAATTGACTCTCGGTGCTGGCTTGGCTTAAAAGTTGAGCCTACCCTAAACTAAGACCGCTCCGCCGCCCATGTTGCAGTCTTTAACAACTCAATTTAAACATAGAAAAAAAAAGAAAAGAAAAGTATCGATATTTATAAGTATAACCTTCCTTCCATCCTCTCCCATATGTTCGATTACAGTCAAACTGCGGCGTAGTTGTACGTAGTTACGATAAAAAAGTCACAGTTACGACGCAACAACGTCGCATTTGCTAAAAGAAAACAACAATCTAAGTGAGATTTTCCATTTTATAAACATTTTTATTGTGACTACTTGTTGATTTTTTAGATTTTCTATAGAATTTGATAGAAAGTAATTATAAGAAAGATAGAGAAAAATATTTTAAATAAACGGAAATAACTTATACAAACAAGTTATAACAATAGACCAAAAGGGGGAAAAATACAAAGAAAAAAGTGAAAAAAAAATTAAGACATTCTAAAAATGCTGAAAAATCTAAACAAATTTAAATAATTTAAAAATCCCTAAAAATATTAAAAGATGCAAATATAGTTAAATAAATAAAAAAAAGTTGACTAATTTAATTTTTTCAAAAAACTTAAAAGGTTTATAAAAGCTAAAAATCTAACCTCGGAATAGCATTTGGCACTCTCGAAAATCCCCAAGTTATTATTTTCATAACAAATAACCCAGGTCGAAAATTCAAATATAAGATCTTGTAAAACAAAATACGATCAGACAAAAAAAGCTGTTAGCACAATTCCTGCAGGATTAAAATGTGAAACACGATACACTCATTGTTGCTAATCCTCTAAAAACTTGTTTTTTCTATGGATATTGAGGTATATTTCATCATCACTACTTACCTTACAGCATAAAACTTCAATAAGGAAATATTGTATATATATATTTCAATTAGATGTTAGTTATACATGATCTCCGATAGTTCCTTTAGGCCGTCTATCACTGTCTTTGATAGGTCCGGGCCCTATCTGTCAGGGTGTAGATATGTGTTTTCTTGTTAACTTTCTGTTCAATTACATGCATACCCCCACATATCCCTCCCACCAAGACACCAAAGTCCACACTCATACTCTCAAGGAGGAAACAGCTGAAATTGGATTTTTTTTATTTCAAAATCATCAAGAAAAAATCAAACGAAAAATTAACAAAATCTGATTTCAACTATTGGAGCCTTGATTGATGTTTTGAACAACAGAGATTAAGAATTTTTCTGATTTTTTGGATTTAAAATTGATTTACAACGAAGAAAAATTAGTTGTTGCCACTTGAATAAACAACATTTACTAAATTTCCTATGAAAATATTATTTAATCCAAAAATTTAAAAAAAAAATGAATGTTAAAATGCATTGTTTTTAAATTCTAGGATAAAAGCACGTTTTAACGCTAAAAACTAGAGTTTTTCGCCAAAAAATACATTTCTGGCATTTTCATAATCACCCATGTAAAAAAAGACGCCCAAAAAATCAGATTATAATCTATTATAATGGCACTATTATAATCTGATTATAATCAGATTTTTCAGCATTAAAAGAAAAGATTATTTTGATTTTAATCTTTTTTAATCTATTTTAATCGATTACCAAAATTTAACAATCAGTTTTATTGGATTAAATTTTGGTAATCGATTAAAATAGATTAAAAAAGATTAAAATCAAAATAATCTTTTCTTTTAATGCTGAAAAATCTGATTATAATCAGATTATAATAGTGCCATTATAATAGATTATTAATCCGAAAATAATCCATTATAATCTAATTTTGAGTCGTTTTTTTTTACATGGGCAGTATGAATGAATCACAATCGCGCTTTCATTCTGAACGTTTAAACACGTTTTTCCAAATTTTTATCTGCTTGGGAAGTTCTTTCGTCCTATTTCTTTAGAGGAACATATCAGAACTGATTTCATTTACTTCGAGACTGTTTAATGGTGTGAACGAAGTGTCTTTTGTGTCATAAGAATTCAAACACAATTAATTTATGATATGAGACGACTCTCAATAATTATACCAATATAATATTTAGCATATTATTATGATTATTTTTTAGGATCAACTGAATTAGATGAGTATCCACGATTATCTCACGAAATTCATTATCTGTCACTTTCAAACTAATCTAATCATTCTTTCGAAAATAATATACATTTTTCATGGATTCTAATATTTCATTTTCTATTTTATTTAACTTACCTCTCATTCCCAACTTCCCATTCAACTTGAAATTAGGAAAACATTTGATTATTGACTTAAAAAAACCTATTTCATCGTCATCAAACAGCAAATATATGTAACAAGTATGTGTATATTCATCAAACGTCATGATATGTTATGAGAAAATCGAAATGAAAGAAAAGGACGAAAAACAAAATACTTCGGTTATTTGTGCGACTGCGAATGTTTTTTTTTTCTTTTCTATCCATCATTCTTGTTGCATACTCGTTTTGATATAGAAAATATAACTTATCATTGCTCATTGCCTGCCGTAATTGATTTGATGTGTATGATACATTATCAAATATATAATTAGAAACAGAAACAACGTAAATTGTTGTACTTCCCCTTGAATATTTAACTATTTTTGAAGATAGAAGTTATATGCTTTTGCGTAATTACAACGTTTATATATTCTTCAACAAGTTTTTGTTTGTACGTTTATCATAGAAAGACAGTAGAGTTTATTAGGTTTATTTAAAAATATCTCATTTTTCGTCATATATTCGTGTTGTTGAAGTCATTTAAATATGAAAGGTATCGATTTGTTTTTTGCACATTTATTTGTACTATTCATATAGTTTGTTACCTATCTTCATGGTTGAATAAATTGTGTATTTATCTTTCTGAATACTTGCTCGCTCGCTGCAATGCACATTAGTCATTCAAGAAACAACAAAAATATTGTGAAAGTAATTATTCTCTTGCTGTATAATAGCAATTGATCAATACATGTGCTTATTTTAGCTGCTTATATCGCCTTCATAACAAGAGAAAAAGCCTTCGTTTGCATCCATACAAAAGTGAAAATTATTTAGATAAGGTATACAAACAATTTCTTATTCATTATATCATCTCTTCTCGAGTGCACAGGTTAAACATGAGTGCTGAACTATCTTCACGTGATATGCTGATTGCTAACTGGTACTTTAACGATGCATTAGGCTATAAAGGTCAAACTCCTACACCTGAAGCTGCGTCCGTTTATATGAAGGCTCTCATAGATATAGTTTCAGCCGATGGAGTACTTGCTAAGGAGGAACTCAAATGGATATTAGGCTTTGCTGCTACTATTGGTGAATATTTTTAATCTATTTATTGTTAAAAACTCGATATCAATGCGTATTGTAGGTATGTCACAAGATATGCTTGATGAACTTCAGACTTATGAACCAGGCAAATGCGAAGAAGTCCAGTATATTTTCCAAGATCTAGATCTAATATCTACAAGTATTAGTCGATTGAGCTTTATCTACAATGGATTTCGAGCAGCAAGTGCTGATGGTGAATTACATCCTAAGGAACTTAAAGCTATCTGTAAGCTTGGCAAGAAACTCGGTCTTACCGCTGAAGAAATTGAACAATGTCGTTTATTGACTGAAGAAGAGGAAAATCTACGACGAAAACGAGCAAAGATACTCTTTCCAGAGGGCTTTGATAATTTCTTAAAACATTTCACCGAACAATATTTATAAATAGTTGCTGCACTTCATTATTTTTATCATATTCAAAAATAACGTGTTTATTAATTTGTTTAGATTTCAATGTGCTTCCATATCATGTAGCTCTATTTTATTTTCTATTTTGATTAAAAGTAGATTGCATTTTTATATAAATCTTAGATTTATAATGTTATTTTTTCCAAAAAGTTAAAAATTTTTTTATAATGTTCACGACAAAGATTGTAGTAGCATAGAGGAAATTGACGATTTGATTCCAACAAATAGAAATTAATTATGTGGTAGTTGTAAGCTTAGCAAAGAGTCGATATACAACATATAGTATCATGACATGTGAAATGATAGAGGGATCACTTGTTTTCTAACTAAACTTTGAAATAAATTGTTTCCTGGAAAAATCAAAAATAGGGGTAGCACTTTAACTTTATTTTACTTTAATAAAGTATAGTAAAGTAAGGTGAGTGTAAAATAAAATAAAATAAAACATATAGTTGATGATTATTGATTTATTAGTTCATTATCACACATTAATTACATTTCAATACATTAAAAGCTGCGGTGAATTACGGACCGAGAGTCTCCAAAAGGCTGAACCTAATTTTATTACTTTGAGAATCAGCATTGAACTCTGACTATTTTTCATAATTTTATTTTCTACTTTATCACAACTGGAATCTCCCTGAGACATCGGAAAAAAATGTTGTCGCTGTTCTATTACAAGTCTTCATAGTTCAATATTACCAAGTGTGCTGATTACAAATATTTCATTTGTTTTCAAAAGTACTTAGATAATAAGAAAGTAGTGGCGTATCTAGGAGGTCGCTACAGAGAGTGCCACCCTTCCAACGACAAGAAGGAAAGCTTTAGAATTTTACTTGAAAAAAGATATTCTTGTTCGAAATAAAAGGGTGAGTATATGAATCATAATCAGCAATTACTTACATTTATTATGAGTTTAGAGTAACATCTAATACAAAAAGTGTAGAGGATATATTGATAGCAGAGATCGAATCGAACCGAGTTTTACTGGTTCGAGTTAGATTCGGTTCATGTTTCTTTTCTTAAAAAAAAGTTCAAGTGCGGTTCATATTTGTTTTCTTAAAATCATTTCGGATTCTGTTGGGTTCGGGCGTATTTCAAAAACTCCGAATGTGGGGTGTGAACGGAGACAAGGCCCACATTCACACCCTGAGTTTCCCAGTACTTAATATTTTCTGAACTTCTGTTTAAGATCTAAATTTGTCGATGTTTATAGTATGTATTGCAATCTTTATTGGCTCTTATTACAAAAATTATTCACTTCTACTAATATTATCTGTCTTGAGTGTAATCTAGAAGATCGTGCAACTCTGTATATTTGTACGAACGAAAAAATTAAAAAAATATGAAACAAATCATTTTACAGCCTCGGATAAAAGTCTTTTCTTCCTTTATCTTTGTATTAAATTTATTATTGAGTAAAAATATGACATAAGAGTTGTATTAGTGTGATCTGTACACCAAAATGAAATAAAACTTTCATGTCATATCTCTACTCAATAATAAATTTAATACAAAGTTTGACATCATAAAAAGATAAAGATGGGAAGGATTTTTATTCAAGGATGCAGATCCTACAAGGGAACCTATGCATGATTTTTTCATATATTTAATTCCTAAGAGATAGTGAAAGAATCGATTTTAAAATGAAATAGCCAATCTAAAACTTGAAGTTGGTGTGCGTTTGCTGTTCATTTTTCTACGTCATAACAGCTTCAATGCTAGCTATGATATAGGCTCAGATCTTGAAAATCGATTTTGTCGCTTGATTGCCCATTGTTGTGGGGAGGGAAGAGAGCGCTAAGGACTCTCATGCTGCAATGCTGAGATAAAAGTGTAGTTACGCGAGCAAAAGGCTTTTTAGGCAGTTGAATGTTTCATTTTCTATCCATATGCATCTCATTATGATGTAAACTCTATTGGAATGCAAAAGAAGCATCTGCTGTTTTCACAAAAAAATGAAATTTATCAAAACGACTGCAAATAATAGTATATTTGATATTAAGCTAAGTCCTTTGTCATTACTAGTCATCAAAAGAGAGATATTACTGTGGATTATGAAAAGATAGTTAATGCTTTCTCAATTCAGCATAAAAACAGTCGAGTACTGTTGAAATGATTATTTTTTGTTTATTTCCGTTTTGTTCTTCCCTTTGTTAATTTAATTTCTTTTAATAAAAGAACAGACGTATTGTTTTGTATTACTCACCAAGAACTAGATAATTGAAAAACTTGATTTATACTCAAGACAAAATTTACATTGACGTGGGGAGAGTTTCAAGGATGATGGGCACTACCTTCCCACTCACAATTTTCTGCATACGCCACTATAAGAAAGATCGAAAGCACTCCCTAACAGCATTAAAAAACAGCTTTCGGTCAGAAAGTTCATTAAAATACGACCAGACTCGTTTCATCCAAGTCATAATGGGTTTGACTTGACTAAAAATGCGTATTGTGATGACTCACCTATTAAACAAACCTTTTTAGCCCAAGCAGGGTGTGGATGTAGGTATCTCTTTGAGAACACACACAGCCATACTCGCACTTACACCCACACCCTATCCTCGCAATGTTGAAAATAACTTACCTATTTAGTCATTCCGTTTCTTCACATTACTTTTTTTCTGAGTCTTACTTCTCTATTATCATGAGAACACGATATGTTGGAGGCGTAGTTTGATTACCTGCTTAAGTTGAAATAAAAGAATGATGCAAAATTATCTATTAAACTGCGCAAACAAAGATAGGAGGCCGTTTTTTCCAACTATTCTTACATATATGACAGATATATATACCAAACCTATATAATTCCTTCGTGTTTCAACAAGCAAAAAGCATTTATCGATCAATATTTAGTTTGCTTTTAATTGTTGTAGTTAACCGAGTTCATCTGAGTATTTGACTATTATTATTGGCAAGTATACTGTAATTCTTTTTGGAGAGAAAAAAATTGTTTTCTTTCAATGTTGCACTTTTTTTTCTTCTTAACATCCTCGGAGTAACTAGAATACATATTTTCTGTAGATATGCATTGAATCCTTCTGAATTCTTAAGCATATGTATTCAGTTGACTATGTTAGCTATGCAAAAATGTTAAGTTTGTTCAATATTGGATTCTCATATCATTTGAGTCTTTAAAAAATATAGCTACAATCGATTTTTGCCGGTTTAACGGACTGGAAATATTAGTGTGTGTTGACGGACTATTGATACAATGTTAGTGAACGAGAGAAGAAAGTGGTATCCGAGAGAGAAACTGATATATAAGGGAGTGATGATCAAATGTACCGGATCTATAATTGCGAAAAGTGAACTGTACTCGTACTATCGAACAAGGAATGGAGAGAATAAAAGAGAGAGTAGTGCAAAGAGACAGTGAGTGTCTAATGATGACCTGCATTCATACAGATGATGAGAGAGTGAGAAGACGAACTAGAAGAATATTCGCTAGTGAACTATATGTTCGCTTTCATAAGACAAAAGAGACGATAATAAAATGAATGAAGAGATACTATGGAGCATATGATGCATTAGAGGAATTTCCTGGAAATTCATCAGTGGGAAATTGGAAAATAATTTCCGAGAAATTGATCTGAATTTCATATAAGGCATCTCTCTCACTAAGGATGAGGGCAGAAACACTTCAACAGAGTATTCTCTCTGAGAAAATTCCTTTTTCTAGGAAATCTTTTTCCTTCTCAGGAAATTTTTTTCGTTTCCTTTCCATTATGCCTCTTGTGCTCCATTTCTCAATAAACTGCGAAAAAAAGAGTTTCCTGGAAACTTATAGAAAGCATCAAATCCTATGAAACGACAGCAACAACAAGAGAGAGAGAGAGAGAGAGTGCTATCAAATGGTCTGATCAAGAGAAAAGATCATACCAGAACGTAACACCATACGTAGACATATACGATTCCGAAACGGAATAAAAATAGATTTTTATTCTCGTTCTTTATGGAGTTCCATTGTACTTAATGAAAACTTGTGGATGTATTCAAACGATTAGGTTAGAGGGATCTGTATCAAGTAAATCTTTTGTCCAGAGAATTGTAGGCAATTGTCGTTGACATTACTCTATAGCGACGCTGATAGCTGAAAAACGAAATATTCTTTCTTCTTATTCCCAATGAAATTTATTTTCATTTTATTTTAAGAAAAAAATTGTATGAAATAATATGATTAATTTCAATTTATCATCAACATCATTAAATGAAATACAAAATCATGAAGATTATAAAATTGTTTAGTTTTCTACAGATAGTAATATACCATATAAAGAACAAATTATTGATTACTTAATACCATTTAATTCATTTGAAGATTGTGATGATTACATAATAAATGTTCAAAGTGATCGGAAAATTCTTCTTGTTTTAATTAATTTCTTTGAATATGTTTCATATTATAATGATTTTCCTCAAATTCAATCAATTTATGTTTTGGAAAGAAATCTTCAAAATATAAATTATGAAAATCAGACTTATTCGAAACGAGTTAATACTTTTACAAATGAACATGCATTAATTGAACGATTACGTCAAGATATTCTATTAACATATAGAAATGATTTATCAATAAGTATTTCTTCATTACAGGAAATTACAAATGAACAATCTTTAACAAATTTAGATCAAAATACATTTATGTTTTTATGGAATCATTTATTTATTTATTATCTTGTTAATTCTTCTGATATAGATATGAATAAATTAAAAAAAGATATGATAGAACAATGTCGATTAGAATATCAAAATGAAGAAGTTCAATTAAATTCTATTAATGATTTTGAGAATAATTGTACATTGGATGATGCATTATATTGGTATACAAAAGAACCATTCGTTTATAAACTTGTAAATAAAGCATTTCGTACACGAAATGTTGATCTAATTTGTAGATTTCGATATTTTATTATACTTTTACATAGAAAATTAAAAGAATTATCAATACAACAACAAAAAATAAATTATACAATTGTTTATCGAGCACAAACTCTTCGTAAAAATGATTTAGAAACTTTAAAATCAAATATTGGAAATCTTATTTCAACAAATACAATAATGTCAACAACACGTAATAAAAATGTTGCTGATATGTTTTTAAATACTACAGCTGAAATTAATGTTATATTCAAAATTAATATTGAAAATGCAACTGATTATATTTTTTATACATTTGCTGATATTTCTGAATTTAGTCAATATCCACAGGAAGAAGAAACTTTATTTTTTCCTGGTTCAGTTTTTCATATTGATTCTGTTGAAAAAGAAAATAATTCAACATGGATAATTAAACTTACTTTAAATAACGATACGGCTGAACAGATAGAACAACTAATGAATGTCATTCAAAAACAATTTACTAATAAAATAAATTTGGATTATTCCTTTATGAAAATAGATGATTTCAATTTGTTCAGAAAATATTATAGAATATTAACAAATAAAAAATTTACATTTAAGGATGCAATCACAAATGCAATAGGTGGTATTGATTTTGATTATCTATTCAGAAACTTCGGTAATTACAAAGAAACTATATAATATTAAAAAAAAATTTTATTAGATAAAAAATTTATTGATAATGCAAAATTTATTGTTTTCAATCTTCTTATTGGTAATAATTATTTTCGTCTATTTGAATATGATAATGCTTTACATCACTATGATATTGCAATTTCATCATTAGATAATAATAATAATCAATTAATAGGTGAAATTTACAATCATATTGGTGATGTACAAAAAGCAATGAATAATTTTCAAAGTGCATTATTATATTATGAAAAAGCACTACAAATTTTTACTAGTCATAATGTTAAAGATCGTTATTTTTCTAGTATGTATAGAAAAATATCTGATATATATCAAATACAAAACAAAAATATAGATGCTATTATTTATGAAGGAAAAGCAAATCAAATTGATAAACGTTATAGACAAAGATCAGAATTAGATCATAAAATATCATTGGAATATTATCAAAATCAATTAAATACTCAACTTAATCTTTTACCGCATCAACGAGCTGATATACTGTATTCAATAGGTGTGTGTTTAATAAAGAAATGTGATTATCAACAAGCATTAGAAAATCTTTTACAAGCAAAGAAATTGTTCGAAAATCATTTACCAACACATGATCATTTTGCATATAAATTTGGTACACTTTTCGAATGTATTGCATTGATGTATTTTCTTTTAAAGGATTATTTCAATGCATTGACTATGTGGAAAAGAGCTCTGGATATACGGACAACTTTTATTTGAAACAAATAAAATTTTCTAATGTTCTATTGTTTTTTTTTTTTATAAATAATTGAAATGAGAGTTATTAACAATGTTTTCTGATCTAATATTGTTCATATACATTTGAAGAACGTCATAATTTTCTTTATATATTTTTTCATCAATCGAAAGAGGAGACAAGGGAACATCTTTTTCTTCAATATTGTATGAGACGAAGTCATTTTAAAATTAGGCATTTCTACAAGACATCGAAAAAAATGTATAAAAATGGCTTGCCATTCGAATGAAATTTTGATTTTGATATGTGATCTAGATAGAGGAATGTCAGATCTATAGTTTAAGATAAAATTCGACTGATTATCTCCACAGATCTGATTGTTAACCAAAAAATCGTCTATCTACTCCCCCAAAAAATATAGATTTCTCCAGCAGTGTTCAGACTTCCGAAAAAGGAAATTTCGGAAGTTTTGGAAATTTCAAGCACTTGTGTTCTAAATTGTTTGGTACTTCTCAAAATTATATAATTTCCGAAATTTCTGAAATTTCCAAAATTCTATACATAGCGAAATTTCCGAAATTACAGAAAATTCTAAAATTTCTAAACTTTCCAATATTTCCAAAATATTTTCATTTGGTTTGCTATGTAGTTATCGAGTTGATGGAAGCTTCGGAAATTTCTGTAATTACCTTTTTCGGAAACCTGAACATACCTCCATCAGGATTGAATTCTGCACATGACAGCATAAACATCAGCGTTTTATATGATAAGTGTCTCTTTGAAAAACATTATTTTCTGAAGTGCATCTAAAAATTGCACTAGATATTAGTTCGAAAGCATTTCAAAGTTCTTGGAAATATAGCGCATAAAACTCTATAGAATGGATCCGCAGTCAGATTTTAAAAGCATTGTTAAATGCCTCAAAGATAGAAAACAACTGTTCCATTGTGTCTGCCTCATGTCTTTTATATTGATAGACTAAAATCCTTCGCTTGTAATGTTGATCATAAACAAGATGAAAATATTAATTATTGAAAAAATTTAATTTCACAACGTCAAATAGGATATGATAAACAAATGTCATTAATATTACTTTCTGATGGAACAACTTATTTCGATGTAACGACGATACCAAATGAAAATCATAATCAAATTGAACTAAGAGAAGATGAATGTCTTGTTAGTCCAATATCTCCAGATTTATATGAAGGAAAAGTAAGAATTATTAATGATCAAATTAATTGTTAATTAGAACCTAATGAAATATTAGTTTGTACTTCTTCGGATCCAACATGGACACTATTATTTTCTATTATTGGTGCGTTAGTATTGGAAATAGGTTGTCAACTTTGACGAGGCACGAGAAGTCGAACTGTGAGATCGACAACAGTGTTTTTCTTTAGTTCAGAACGTCTCTTTCTGGAGTTTAAAGAAATCCGTTTTCTGTTGTATCTTCGAAAATTAATTGTCTCAGTCAAACTTCAAAAAAAAAGACCTTTATCAGTAGTTTGCATGAATAGTTTAACGCATCATTTTTATCATTCCATCGATTTCTTTATTTCAAAAGTAATTGTTTTACAAGATATAAAACAAAAAGAACTTCAAAATTTTAAGTGCAACTAATTCTAAATATACTACCACTTGTACAGCTACCTCCCATTCGTCGACAAGCAGCAACATTGCACGAATCACAATTAGCCATTGGTTTTGATGGATTACTATATTCAGACCAGTTCAAACATTCACATTCACAGATAACATTAGTATTATCTAATTGACCACCATTAACCATCATCATCTTTGTTGTCATGATTGATAAGAAGATCATAGTAAATAATAGACATGATAATAGATTGCACTTCATGTTTAATTCTTTGCCGTAAATTGTGTTAAAAGGTAAAATATTCTGAGAGTGAAAAATATAATATTTTTTTTGTGAGTAGTTAAATTTTCTGTGTGTGAGAATGAGAGCAGAAGGCAATATTAAAACATATAGGATTACTCAATCCATATAGATAAAGTATTTTTTTATTTTTTTATTTTTCTTTGAGTGAGTAGAGTTTGCTTCAGTTAATAGTCTACTTTCAAAAGCTGAAAAAAAGGAAGATATATGCAGGTATCACAGCGTCCTGACTATCTTGAGGGTGTGGGTGTGGGTGTAGATTTAAGATGTGCGTAGAAGTGGAGATGAATTTGGACATTTTTTAGCCATCAAAAGAAAAAGTACTCACAGATTTTCATAGCCAAACTCAAACTTTGACTACTGATTATAAAGGTCATAATCAATCAGAATTTCATTTGTAGCTTTGAAAAGATAATAGATCAAGAGAAATTGTTTAGTTGAGATGAAAGATCTAGTTGTGAATTAATGAGATATACCAGTATTTTCATTGAATCTTAAATATATGTGTTTTTCTTCTGTGAATTATCTAAAAATAAATAGCAATTAATATTAATCGATATTAAAATACAAGTGTAATATTGATAAGATAATGTTTTCATTGATTTAGACGTAATAAAAAAAAACAACCTTTTCATTTTTATTGTATTATGCAGAAAGTACACATAAATCCGACACAGTTAATATTTAGTTTAATAATTAATAACTGATAATTCAATACTGTAACAAATAGAAAAAAGAGCAATGCAAAAGTGAGAAACATTGAAAGTACTTGATGCACTGAAGCTCAACTTCAGAGTATAAGTTCTAAATGAGATTTGTGAGTGGATGAGAGTGATGGTCTTCTCTTTATCTTCATCCCCAACCACTCATCCTCAGATATATTTATCGACACTTTTAGAAATATTTCTTTACATGTTCCATTATATTAACATCTACTCTACTGATGATACATTATGAGAATGAAGATCTTTTACTACTTCGTTATCTATTAGCCCAACTTATTTCATGTGAATATGCACGGTCAGCCAAAATTGCAAATCAAATAGACTATAATAATTCAAATTCATCTGCTGAGCTATTGGTACAATGAATTGTTGCATTTCAAAGAGATTTCCATGAATTTTATTCAAACGATTTCTTTATAGAGATAAGTTTTCTAATGTAAAAATTCCGACATGTGTTCTCAATTGTGCGTCCTAGATATTCATTTTAATGAATATAATGGACATAGTTTAATAGAAATTAAGCATTACTTAGTACATTGCAGCCAGAAATGGCATTTCGGCTTTGGACAATGACTCTTAGTTGAGTCATTGGGATGAGCAAACTGTGAGCGATGATTGAATTCCATACTTTAATAAACGAAACAACTATGAGTAATATTTCATAAAAAATCTTTTGCACAACACGATTTTCGATACATTGAAGGATATAGCGAAAAAGTTGAATGTGTATCGAAGTCTGCCCATCGACTGCTCATGTCACTCTACGACGCTTTTACATTTCCGTGTTATGTTGAACGTTTCTTCTATATTGAAAATAAGTCTTATTAAGTATAAAAATGATACAACATGTAGAAATACTTCTGGTAAATGATAGAAAGAAAGCATAATCTATCCTTTCTGCTGTCTCTACTTATCTTGTATAATAGTACGATTTGTCGTTGGTGTGATTTACTTGGATACGTGTACTGACTGAGATGATTAGAATCTAGACTTGAAAGAAAAAAGGAAACAAGATATAATCCAGCTTTCATCTAAGGTTTTTTCATATTGACAACTAATTGAATAAAGGCAGCAATAATAGTTAAAGAGATGCTCGACATACTTGTGACAGGCTGTTCCATACCAACACTTTTCATTTCCAAATTGACCATGGTCATTTTCAGGTATCGCATTGTGATCCGTATCATCTGAATGCCCGTAGTGATCGCGATGATCAGCGTCCATACTTGAAGAAAACAAACAAAAATAAGGCATGATCACATTTTCAGAAACAAATTGTTTCTTAGTGCTGGCAATTTATTAAAATTAGTTTAGTTCTGATGTTCTTTGAAATAAAATCCAATTACAACAAAAAACTTTTTTAATAGATAATATAGTTTTAGTCGATAGTGTGTGCGTTCAAATTTGGATTATTTTGAGAATAGATGGAAGAATAATTTACGAAAAATTACAGCAGTATTCGAACCGAATGCTGTATCATATGCAACGGTTGTAAGATAGATATAACGTTTTCGTGAAAATTTAAAAAAATTTTGTAATAGATCACAGCGATCATGTAGTATTAGTTACAAGTGATAAAACATGAATTTATCATAGATTGATGAGATAGGCAAGTTAACTAACGCTAATTGTACTAGTGCAGATCAATTGCTAAATACTCATATTCTTTAAATCAAATTTTCCTCATCCATAATGATTAACGAAAAGACTGTTCAGAAACACTTTGAACTGATGGTCAGAGTTCAAGTAAAAATCCAACGGTCGTTTCGAAAGAACTATGTTTTTGAGAGTGAAGATGATGACGATCTCCTTTTCACCCTCATCCACCTTTATTCTTTTTACTTGTCTGGAAATGATGCTAAACGTCAAACTCAATCATAATATCATCATTGCACAGTCTATAACACATAGTTGAAATGACTATTGTGATGTATAGTTCTTCGATGTTGTTTTCGTCTGTCAACAATTAGATATGAACATGATGATCTCGTCAAAAAATTGTCATTTTATCCTTTGATCAAATCATGAAATACATCTACAAATATATGAGAACATCGAATATGTCTGCATGATCTGTAAAGTGAAAAAATATTTTTTGTGTGGGTGTGAGGACCCTTACACCCACACCCACACCAAAATTTGCCTTCTATTCAATCTTGTTCGTTATTCACATACAAAGACTTTGTACAGATCACCTTACGTTGATAGCAATGATTTAGTTCAAACAAAGAGCGAAATGTATAAGTCTTTTCATTTTTTGAGTCAGAGATTATTCGTTTCTTTGTCTATTTGTCTTGAACGAGACCATTATGTTGCCAAAAACTCACTGGTAGGTCATATCAACGAATAACTGTGGTGTTGTTTCTGCAGAAAGAGTTTTTTTTTCTTATCTTCTCTCTCTCTCTCTCTCTCTGATGTAACTCGAAGTATCAACTGCATTTTCAACTCTCTTATCTATTGTTGGTTCTTCTCATGGATAAAAATGATATTCATATCACTCGATAGAGAAAAAAACACCGTCATTATCAACTGAAAAGCAGTTGAGAAGTGTGAGTACGTGTAATATTTTTGTGACATAAAAAAGTTTTATTTCATACAAAGCGTGCTTTGAAAATTTTAATTTCCTCGAATTATATTTTGTCTTGTCTCGAAATTTTTGAGACTGATATTTTCCACATTCGATACCACACCTTGTTTGTAGAGATAGATCATGCCTGGTAATAGGTGGTGGACATTAGATATATGTATTATTGTGAATAATGATTTCACCGAGATCTACTATCGTTCTTAATAACGAGATGAACGAATATATTACGGATAAGTCCCACAATCAAAGCTTTCAGGTTCAATGTCTTCGAATCTTATTTCGTCAGTACTGTGTAATATAGTCTTGACAGAAAACTTTCAAATCGGATAGATCTCTAGTAGAAAATTCAAAATTCTGATGGAGATGCTCAATTCACAATAATCTTGTTTTGCTTAAGAACGATCAGTTCCTATTTGTGCTCAATAACAGCACTATACCTTCCTTACAAGACTATTTTAAATTACATATTAATGAACTTCCTCGGCCTATTGACATTTCTCAGTTCTGAACAAGATGAAGTGAGATATCAATTAAACTTTGTATTACAGGAATGCCATAGAGAGGAAACCGTGCTGAAAATAGAATGAAATAAACTGTATAAACTGGAAGGAATAATTTATCTAAGTTCTCGAAATTAATCACAAACTTATCAGTAGCTATGAGTTTGTGATTGAACAACCATTATTTTGATGGACTTTGCATATTACCGTGAACACGTTATGGTTTTAATTTAAAAAATTAATGACGAGGCGTGACTTATAAAAGGCTCAAAGTTGCATGGTGTTTCTTGCAATTTGCGTTCGGAATACAACAGACAAGGTTAGTGGATAGTTGTTTTTACTCAGTCCTGGACAACATGACTTCTATGCTTTTCATTTTGTCAGGCTGAAAACTCGACAAAAATTCCTGTCACTATTTGTCTAGACAAAATATTTCAGGGATTTACAATGAGATTATCTCCTTTTTTAATCACTGAGATATTTATAGAAAAATAAAAGAATAATTATATTTTCAAGATTTAATTGATGATAGATCTTTTAAAAATCTTGTTCAGATCTAACTAGAATACTCGAAGTAAAAACATAAAATCAATAAATCATTTTTATGACAATATTTTTGACTTGAGTTTAATTTTCTTCGTTCCTGAAAGAAGTAAATATAACGGATAACGGTCATTGATAATCGATCGTACTCTAGATATGATCATTTCAATGACAGTGATATGTGCAATTTTGTTAATGTTGTTTAAACTCTTAACATCCATATTCACATTTGATTACATAGATTGACAAGACTCATTTGTGCACGATGATGATTGCATTGACAATATTTCCATTCTTCTTGTTATTCTCACTATTAGCATCATTTCGTGTTTCGGAGGATGTACCATATCAGAGCCTAATAGTATCACAATCCATTGGTGATTTTGGTAATATTCAACAGGGAAGATTTGTAAATTCCTCTTCGAATTTATTTTGGGAATGGAGAAATTTTACTGACAATTTGGGTGCTAGTATTGCTGGTATTACTGTTTCAACTAACTATGAAAATATTGCTATTGGTATGATGAGTAAAATGGGAATCTTATCTTCAAATGGTCGTTACTTCTCAGTATTAGCCACCAATCTTACTCGCTGTCATTATGCGATTGTATTTCCTGCCAAACATATGATATTATATACAGATGCTGATGAACATATCTATCAAGTCGATCTCACTACCAAGAAACAGACAGTTTTGCTCAATCATGTTGGTGGATCGGCAGGTACTCGTGGTCTAGTGTATGATTCGATCAATAATTGGTTATATTTCTCTGGTGTACAACTAATGCGTAGTCGTTTAGATGGTACAGAGTTACAGAATATAACTCGATATTTAAATTTAAACTATGAAAATCCTGGCTTTCAAATTGCACTTGATCACCATTTCGATTCAAAAAATCCACGTGTCTACTTAGCATTTAATGGCGGTCTTTACATGGTTAATGCTGATGGTAGTAAAGAAAAATTAATATATTCATCATCAGTCGAAACCAATTACACCGGTCCATATGGCGTAGCTATTGGAACAGATCCTGGTGATGGTCAACGATATATATTTTGGTGTCGAGGTCGTCGAGAAAAAGAAGCCTATCTTGAACGTTCAATACTTGACAATGATGGACAATTAAGAACAATCGAATTGTTATATCATAGTTCAGCTAGAGTCGGCCAATGGCTCTATGCCTTAGCCTTAGTACCATGGCGATTCTAATAATAATAAACAGGGAATTACGAATAAATTTTTTCATGAAATGAATGCGAATAACATGTTTGAATGTATCCAAAAGTTGACATTGCATTTTTCGGAGAGGTTTCTTTGTAATAGCGATAAACTAACAATATACTCTGCATGTTCAATTTTTCATTCAATCGTCGTTTGTTTAAAGGATTGATAAGTTATTTTCACTTTTCTAGATGATTGACCAACAATCGCAATAGCACATACTCATTCTCATCCCTAAGAATATCCTTAAAATCTATCAGCAATTGATAAGATTTTCATTGAGCGTATCTTGCAACGCATTTTGCTAGTTTTAAATTATATTTTCTACAATTTCACTCTTCCCTCGATCATGATAGCTTATCCGCAGATTAAATTACCATTACTTCGATTCATGGATGGTTTCTTGCACAAGAGATTCTTGACTGGAACAAAACGGTTACCTTATAATAAGATCTGCTTCAATAAAAGTTTTGATTGTTGATGTTTATCAATAATGCCATTAGTTTCTTTCTCTCTGGTCTCAAACAGTATTTTCTACTGTGTAATCACACAAGTGTGGTGTGAGTGTAGAGAAAAAACTATCACGTTATTTCTGATGAACTGATATTAAAAAACTTTCCTATTCTTTTTATTTTCTTCAAAAGTTATGAACTGATTTCTTTTCATATGTGTTAATATGTGGACATGTAAGTTTATTATAAAAATTGGAAAAAAATATTGATACTACTGTCTATTGTAATAAAGAAAAATAAAAAACAAAATAAAAGTCATTGCTATTGTTCTTTTTTATGTATGTTGACAGAGTCTTCGCAAAACCATGAAGTTGATTCAATTGAAATTCCTAATTTAATGCGACAACTGTTGCATAACCACAGGGAACAATTATATTCTACCCATTTGTAAAATTCATTCTAATGCCAACATTGAATAACATGTATTTCCCCTGAATTATCTTCTGCAATACATTTTGCACAACAATTTGCACATTTAATAACCTCAGTTTTTTGTTTTTTGGGCTGCACGAAACTTTTATCTATTGCTGCCACCTGTCGCTTTTGTTTAGCAACACGAAATTATCTTGACGATACGTAATCATCAGGTATATTAAGTAATAATTTTGTTCTGTTAATTGGACGATTTTCATCTTTACCATTCCATGTGTCATAAGCTTTTTCAATTATTTCCCGACAACAATTACTAGAACGAATGCAAAAACTATTATAGTTTCTTATAGTTTTCAAAACACAATATTTTTACCCTCGTAAATCATCAGGAAATGGTGATCGGACATTCATTAATACATCAAGTATTTCAATCATTATTCGTGAATGTCCATTTGTTTGTATTCGATTGGCTATTGAAGAACAACGTTCATATTTGGCTGAATTAAATAGTGATATTAAATAAATTGACAATAATATTATAAGACTTTGGTATCGTTCATGAAAAGAATTATCAATAGCTTCTTTCCATGACATGAAAGACTTCCAAAATACTTTTCTTGATTTTTGCTGTTGATTAATAGATGCAAATTCACTTAACGAAATTTTCAGCGATTCCCACTCATTTCGATATTTTTCAACCTTGAATCCATTAAAATTTTTGTACTTTGTTACAAAATATTCTAGTTCTTGTTGTGCATAATATGTTTTTTTTAATTTCGTTTTTGCTAAGGTGCATTATAAGTTCGAGTTATTTTCGAACTTGTTTTATTGAAGTTTCATCATACATTCATAACAATAATAATAATGATGGTAAAAAATAAACAACAGTAAGATAAAAGTAAACAAAAGGAGAAAAAGAAATAACCAATAAAAAAAAAGAGTTACTATATAGATATAGATGGTGAGAGAGAAGAAACGTAATGATCATGATAGTGTATGAGAAAACAGATCATAACAATTTTTATTTGTTATTAAATAATCAGGTTCAAATAAAACAAGAAAATGTTGTTGTAATTTTGATGGTTAAAATCATTTATCAATTTCCAATAATAATCGATCAATATGTTTGAAACATTCGTTAAATAGATTATTTCGATCACATACAATAATTTGAAATGCACCATAAGCATTGTTGTTGGAAGTACAATTTACATAATCAGTCAAAGATGGCCCTAGAGTAAATATTAATTCTTGTTTTTGAGGCAGTCAATTACTTAATATTGGTTTTTCTTTGCAGCATGAATAGGAAATCATTATTCAATATTGAACATATTAAATCAGCTGCTGTTTCACGATCATCTTTAGTT